TTGATAGCAAAAAAATTTTTGGGGGTTCTGCCCCCGAACCCTTGATACGTTTAAGCCCCCCCTCACAAATATTTATGGCCTCGACACTGCATCCCACAACAACTTCTAACCATTTCGCTTATCAAATGCACAACTCTCATAACCAACCCTCTGAAATAAAGACTTCCAAAAAAGATTGATTGTAACGAGTAAACAAACATTATGAATCACACTGACAGTCACATGTAGTAAAAACTTCAAATCAAAACGCCTACCTTAAATTGGTTCAATCCTCCGCAAGTGATCACATTAATTCACCACGTTCCTCACCACGACCTATGGGCATCCAAATAAAGAGGAATTTAACTTCACAATTGTTTTTTCATATACACTCCTCAGTAAGAAAACAAAATATCTAACAATATCCTATAAGACTACTGTTACACACAATTAAACTTTCATCTGGTGGTTTAGTACAAAATGCGAAAATCAAATACTAATAGAGACGTACATGCACAACACACACACACGCAGTATAAATAAAAAATAAATGGGGGGGGGGGGGGGGGGGTGGGGGTGGGGGGTGTTATCTGCAAACTCAATGATGGTGACTAACTGAAACACCTCCATCACAATATTCCCCTTTTAACTAACAATATGTTCAAATGTTGACAGCAAACTTGGGGGGTGGGTAGGGGGTGGGGTGGGGGTGGGTACTGTTGATGATATTTTTTTGGGGGCCGTTTGAATGAAAAAAAAAAAATTGATATACCTAGGCCCAAGGGTTTATTTTTTACTTAATCCCCCATCGGGACCCGTAGTTCGTACACATCTTACGCCCCCATCTTGAAAGTTTCCAAAAAATTTTCCAAAAAAAAAGTCCCATAAATCAATTTGTAGGGTTTTTTAACATGAAATTAGTTCTGTAATCCACCCACCCCATGCCTATTACACCTAAAAAAGGCGAAATTACCTCAAAAAATCGAAGTCCAACCCTTCTTCAAGCTTGATTTCGAATTTTCGATTTTTTTTTTTTTTTTTTTTGCCATTTGCAGTTTGGGGGGTTTTTGGATTTTTTTGGAAAGTTTTGGGGGTTTTTATTATAAACAGCAAATAGCAATTTTCTAACCGTAAATAGCATTTTATTTATTTATTACTTAGTCCCACATCGGTACACGTGGAAATATATTTTATTCTTTTTGGGCCTATTTATAAATTTTAATGTGGCCGAGGTTTTAATAGAAACTGGCCCAAAACATTAAATATTCTGCATTGGGCTTAGTATTATAAGGCTTACTAGATTTTAGCATCACATAATTAATTCAATAGTAAATGGATAAACTAATTAAGGGAAGATTAACAATATTTTAACATAATTAGTACATGTACACTTAATTAGGAAAAAAAATAATTGAAAAGGTGACGGTTTCCCATGCATGCATGCATTTTTTGGATAGACTGGACTTTGTTGTCTACGTTGAAAGCTTGGTTTCTTGATGATAATTTTTGTTGCAATTTAATTTGTTATGGATTTACTATTTTATGTTATTTTCTTAATGAATTTTAAAAAAATATTCTAAGTTTGTAGATATTTTCATTGTATTTGTTGGAATGATTTGTAAAATAGACAAAAATAGGGAGAAGAAGTGGGGCTTTTTTGTTGGTTATCAAAACAAATTAAATCAGACTACTTTCCCAAAAACCAAATATTCATTGGGCTTAGAATTATGTTTTGAGAACTATGTTTAATGTTTCCATTATTGTACTTATTAGACCACTAATGAATGGCTTAATCTAATAAAGAATAAAATTACCGGCATAAAGTATTAAAAATTCAATTTAGGGTTCGTTTTGAACGATTTATTGTGTTTCGATGGTGCAAAATACTACTAATTTTCGTTTCCGAAAGTGTTAAATACTCAAATATAACATTTCAAGAGTCCAAAATGGAATTAAAGTAACATACGATGTGAATAAAAAAAAGTTACAAAATAGAAATATAATATAAATTGTTGACTATGTAAGGGCAAAAATGTAAGCCTCGTTTGGTTGCTAGTATAGGAAGAATTAAAAACATGTTTGATTGACCTGATTCAAATCCGCTATAAAGATGAAGCAAGAGGAAGACTAGCTCGATAGAGTTAGGCTAATTTAGCCAAGTGTAAATAGACTTAGTAAAGATTTTTAGATACTTTCTATAACTTTTAATTTGTAGATATTTTGTAGGAATCGTGTTCTAGTAAACAACTCCTAGTGCTTCGATCGAATCAATCTTCACAATCCATTGAAGCGGCGAACTAGAATAAATAGGTGTGGAGACTTCATTTTTAACCAATATTAAAACTGAAAATCACAGAGATTACTTACGTTCTTCAAGAAAGAGAGAGAAATTAAATAGTGAGAAAAAACAACACTTTATATCTGTAAGGTTACTTCCCCATAAAGGCAAGCACGCTCAAGTTTATTCGAACCGAAAAATATATATACACTTTTCGACTTTGATGAAAAAGTCTCAAAAAAAATACATTTGAACTAAACTATTGAAATAACGAGCGGCGGTTAACCTCCGGAACCAATTTGGTGCGATATATGAGTACGTCTACTTCGTTATGGACCTTGAAGTGTACGTAATCCGTTCCTTGTATCTCAACCTTTTGTGCCGGAAGTATATCTCCTGCAGGGGCTTTTGGGTTATTTTGTACCCACATATATAATCTCTCTCGAAATGTGTGATTCCCGAGATTGAGTTATCTTGAGTGCATCCATGTATAATCTCTCTTGGATGATGTGATTCCCAAGATTGAGACGTTTTGAGTAAACCTACATGTACATATCTCCCTTAGAGAGGATAAATTCCCGAGGTCGAGCTCAATTTTTATCACGTGTACATGAATAACTATTGCCTACTCAATAGTGCAACTACACACTCAATATTCAATAACAAAATATATTTGTCAAGTGTTACATTGTGCAAGACACAAATTAAAATCATATCAAATCCCATAGAGATAATAGGTGACACCGGAGGTACTACTCGAAATATGGCATTTGCATGCTAGTATAAATTATTTTAAAAGGTATACTTAAAATTTCAAATTTCTATTGTATACCTTTTAAAATAGTCAAAAATGTGAATAATAAATAAATAAATATATATATATGGTAAATTACAACTACTTCCCTGAAGTAAAGTGTAATTATAAATAAACTCTTTTTTTTTTTTTGAGAAATTACATACAAAGCTCCTGCAATTTATCGAGTTCAAATCAAGTGCAAATGGGCTGAACCAATAATAACGTGCGCCACTCCCACCACCCCGCTAACTTGCGCACCTCCCCCACGCCCCACCGCACGATGCGGGAAGTCAAAGAAAGAACCCCTCTGTACCAGGTGGGATATCGTACGGCTACGAGGTGGTAGAAGGGATTGTTCCATTTGCTGTGGCGAAGAATTGAGAAAAACTGATCTATTGCCTCATC